AATATTAATATTAATAATAATAATAATAATAATAATAATAATAATATTAATAATGATAACAGACAATAATTAGAAACAGCAATCAAGAAGCCTTGATCACATTTACAGACTACAAAAAAAGGCTTTTGATAAGGTGTTGGATAACGTCATTCACCATCTACTACTTAAAACGATGCGACAGAGCCGTTTCCCCGAGACAGCTGCTGGCATCACTCGTAGCGGGGCTCCATGAGAAAACAACAACAACAACAACAACAACAACAACAACAACAATAACAACAACAACAACAACAACAACAACAACAACAAAACAAACAACTACAAGCAAGCAAACAAACAAACAACAACTACAATATATCATGATGACATGGAATGGTATACATAGCAGTCAAGAGAGAATCAGACATAGATGACAAGGGTGTCAAAACTGGAGACAGAAAGTATTAATTGCTAAAACCGAAGATAATAATTATTATTCTGACGACTCAGTCCTTCTAGCTGACACCATGATGGGAATAAGAAGGATCATATACCGAGGTGATGCTGCTGTCAATAAAGTAAAAAATGCACTTTAGAAAAAAAACTTTTACATTAAAAAAAAAGAAATTAAATCTAGATGTGAATTTGATTTACATGAGGTCAACGTGAAAATCGAATTCACATCTTGATTCCATTTCTTTTTTCTTATTCATGGCTAATCGTTACAGTCTCTCTCTCTCTCTCTCTCTCTCTCTCTCTCTCTCTCTCTCTCTCTCTCTCTCTCAAGCATTCCTTTTCGTACATTGGCAAAATCTAGCCGAAGGTGGGGCTGGCAGTGTCACAAGGTTTGCCTGTAAATGCAATCTAATTATTAGTTATGAGAAAGACAATAGATTACTGTGTACACATTTATTTTATTCCCATATATGCACTCCACAGGAACAAGCTTGCTCCACTTTCAACTTCCTCAACTCAGAGCGTCGTGTGGTGGCCGCAGGGCTTATCCCACCCTTACAAATGGCAGATCAAGAGGACTTCACCTTGGACACAGATACAGGAATGAGCTTGCTGGATGGAAGCACAGAGTCTTTAGAAGACCCGCAGACAAGAAAGACAATGGAAATGTTCAAAGAAAAGGGTATCATGGACACTTTTGTTGAATCAGAAAGACAAAGGAAACGTAGCTCAGGCAGGCACAGGCCTTGGGAGCAGACAAATGAAGATTCAGAGAAAAAATAATGTGATGATGTATATGATGATAGTTTCTGTATGATATTCTAGTATTTAATACATGATGAAGTGACTTGTAATAATACTTTGCTGAATTTTTTCTTTTTTTCTTTCCTTGTTTTTTATTTTATGTTTGCTCGCTCTTGTTGGCTCTTCAGCCACATATGTTTGGGATACTAAAGCAAGAAAAAAATCTTTCGAATTTTCCCACCGTACACCTTGAACTGGTAACAGACCAAAGATTTCCTCATCAGCTGACTCCAAATGTAAAGTGTACGTAAGGAGAGAGCGCTTGTGCTTATGTACAAAACAGCGCCATAAATGGGTGTTATGACAGCTGTACATTGTGCTGTGGTGGGAAATAATTTGTGAAGAAGCATATTGATGGTGTTACGTTCTAACCATGTAACTGGAAGATTGGGTCAACTCTTTTTTTGTTCTAGAACCATTGCCAAGGTCGTTCTCCCTTGGGTCCTCTATAAAAATCAGTAGTCGGCCTGCTTTACAGTATTAAAGTATTCATGATGTGGGCTAACTTTTGTATCTTTGCTAATCATTTAAATCAGAATGGGCTTTTCTTCCCCACATACTAAAACTTTTTGAAGGGACCAGTTACAGGGTTTGAGCATAACGCCATTAAAATGATAAGTCTAGTCACTTTGATCTGCAATTGGTTGAATCTAAGGATGTGGTACAGTATGCAAGGATAAGAAGAGGAAGATGTATATTGCTGCAGACTTGTTATGGTCTTCCCTTTGTTGATGTGTTCACGTCTGCAAGCTAAAAGTGTATGGAAAAACTTAATTTGTTTCCTAGCAACGATCGACTGTCAACAAAAGTTTGTTAATCGCACAGCAAGCAATGTGTACCCTCGTACACTCAGAGACTTTCTTGGCTTCCTGGGAAGCATACAATGCATGTTGTGGATTACATGCTCTAAAACATCAATAAACTGACAAAATCTTTGGCTGTCTCTAGCCAGGTATCCATTCTCACCTGGGTGAAGTAAAGAAAATTCATGTAAAGTGCTTTTCTCAAAGACATAACGTCGGGCCCCTGATGGGCTTTGAACCTATGACCTTCCAGGCCGAAGGGCTAGAATTCAAATGGCCGCTGGATCGGAAAAGTAAAGTAAAGTAACCTATGACCTTTTGGAAATTAGGTTGTGAACCCAACTGCCTAACCACTAGACCGTAGACTATACAGTCCATAGCGTTGGTATTGGTATACCCGCAAGATCAAGTGTGTTGAAATTTGACTAAGATGCGAGTGCTCTGATTCTGGCGTTCATATGATTAAAACGGTACATGTATAACATATATTATGTATTACAAACAATACTCTGTCACATTTTTAAGTATACACGGTGTTAAAATTAAAATAGTTTCACAATGAGTCGATATTCTTTAAAATTTCAGGAATACGAATTTAATCAATTTTAAAAACGAAAACAACAACAACAATACAGAATGTTAACATAACAGGTTTATTGGCGACTTACAAGAGTGTGGGGGTGGTCTACAAAAGTAAATTGATCAGTAGCATTGATGATGGCCTGACATGGTCGCCGCTTTGAATCAATCGATCGCTGCACTGCCTGATGAGGGATGTTATTCCACACTTCATGCGATGCTCTCTCAAGTTGAGGAAGTGTCTGAGGCTGGTGTTGTCGCATGTTGTTCAACTCATATCTGGTTTGTCTTGCCGTTTTGAAACGATTCCGTAGATGCGACAGGCGTATAAAAAATCCTCTCTTGGAGTAGTTTTTCTTCTCCCATGTTGGCAGTGTCGATCCTTTACTGATTTTGTTGTTTTCTCACGATCCATTGTTGTGTACACAAGTCTTCTTTTACATTAAAATATCTCACAACAGTGGATACCGAGGCACCCCCGCGAATCATTACAAAAAGCTGATTTCGCACATTTTCTCTTTGGGCGTGGCATGATGAAATGTAGACTTAAGAAGTCTTATCACTAGCAAATTGTTACAAAATTGACAAAGCTTTGTTGTGTGCTTCTTTTTTAAACTAATCATTGCTGTATCTTGAGGATAAAAAAAAGACAAAACATGTAACACGCATGCAGTTACAAAACCACTCGCGCGTTCAGAAATCTGAAAACAGCTCACCAGCGACAGGTATATCACGTAATCAGTGTGAAAATTTGAAAGTAATTGGTGGCATAGATTTTGTTTTATTGAGCTTTATATATGTGTATACCTAAAAATGTGACAGAGTATATATAATATATATACAGTCGAACCTGTGTAAGACGGAATAGCAAGGGAGCCAGAAAAATATTCCATCTTAGACAGGGGAATTTAGGGGGAGGTGGAGGTT